TTTGCCGGGTTCAGGCGTAGCCCAGCGTCACGTAAAGCTGTCAGTACCGCCACAAGCCTACGGTTATGTTCGTCTACAGACCTTCCGAACACAATCACGTCATCCAGATAGACCAAGCAGTGTGTTGGGAAAAGATGTGCTGGAACCACCTGCATCAGTCTTTGGAAAGTGGCCGCAGCGTTGCAAAGACCGAAAGGCATGGTCTCGAATTCGAACAATCCTTGTGGCAGTATAAAAGCTGTTTTATGTTGGTCCTTGGGTTCAACTTCTACTTGCCAGTATCCAGACTTTAGATCCAGGGTGGAAAACCATTTAGCACCAGCCAAGGCGTCCAAAGTAACGTCAATCCGAGATAAAGGGAAAGAATCCCTAACTGTAAGGGCATTCAGTCGTCGGTAATCCACGCAAAAACGTAGTTTGCCATCCTTCTTTGGTACTAGGGTAACTAGAGACGCCCAGGGTGAGCGAGCGGGTTTAATAATCCCGGCTTTCAACATCTTGTCCAGAAGATCGCTAACCTCTGCCTGTAAGTGGGCCGGTATCCGTCTCGGAGGTTGCCACATCGGCTTCGCGTTTCCTGTCTCAATAGAGTGCCGCATATAGCTCGTACGACCTATCTGGCTTTCATCCCATGCGAAAACATCGTGAAAAGATAAAAGCAGTGATCGAAGACCTTCCTTATGCTCCATGTCCATGTCCGTGTGGTCTTTCAGTACATCATCAATATTTGTAGGTGGAAGATTCACGACGGCAGAAATTCGTGCAAAAACGACGGCCTCATCAAACGAGTCGTTAGTATTTGCCACACCTATTTCTCCACCAAGACTGACCGCTCGATTTCTGTCATTGATACATCAGTCGTATTTGCTAAGAAAATCGATACCTAACAATAAGTCCCATGTCAATCCGGGGACAACCAAAAAGTCATGGTCCTTACACGAATGTTCGAATTGTAACTTGATGTGAACAATCCCTAAACATTCTAAGGGGGATCCATTAGTTGCAACCAACGTAGGGAGGGGCCCATATTTATGTATACGTCCGTGTAGAGGATGAGTAAAGATACGTGGGTTAGCCAGTGAGAGCGTAGCGCCAGTATCTATTAGGGCTCTAACAGGTTTGTTTTCAACATGAATAGAAATAAAGAATGATGGGTCATCAGACGGCACAGAACAAACTGGGATAGAGACACTACCAGGTTGTTGATACGAGTGTCTGTCCTCCGGCAGCCACTGTCGCAATCCACACCGGCATTTTGGTGGTTGATATTCCCTTGTTTGATTAATGCGTGGTTGATACCTGGGATGTGGTGGACGAAATCTAGCGCTGTTAAAGGAATTATGCCCAAAACGCTGTGGTGTAAAATTAGATGTATTTGTCATTTGGGGTCGTTGAGGTACCGGCCGCCAATTTTGCCCAGGGGAAACCTTGGATCTTTCAACTTCGACGAACCTATCTGCTCGGTCGATAGCATCCCCTAAAAATGCCGGAGGTTGTAATTGAAGTGACTCTGCTAGAGTACGAGAGGACAACCCTTTTATAAAATGGTGAAGGGTGACTTCCTCGGCGTCCGCCGCGTTCAAAGAGCGATAAGCCTCTTTACATAATCTCAGCATATCCTCCGCGAACTGGCGCGGAGACTCGTGTGGCTGCTGACGGCGGTTGAAGAACTTTTCAATCGACTGTCCTACGGACGGTCTTGGGGAGAATAGCCGGCGTAGTTGGCAACAAAGGTTTTTATATGGAGTACGTCCTGATACTCCAGAATTAAGTGCCTGTCGGAGTTGCTTACTTGCCAGATGTTTCAGTAAGGCGCGGCTTTTTTCGTCGTCAGGTACTTCCTCCAAATAGAAATCAAGCAGATTTAGCCAATCCCCGAAGTCTTCTTCTCCATCAAAAATATGAAAAGAGGATAAGATGGCGTGGTAGTAGGGTGCTGGTGTTCTTCTAGGGCTAGACGGGTCTGTCGTGTGCGCTGCCACCATTGTAATACTCGAGTTACCTGATGGCTTGGTCTCGTCTGTGTTGGGGTTTTCGGGAGTTAGTTGAGACTGTTCGTCTGTAGAAGGCATAGCAGACATATCCATCACGTCTCTCCTTTGTATGGGGGTCTTATGGGTATGATCACACGAATTCCAACAGCCAATACCAGAAATGAACTTTCAACAAAGGAACGTTTATTGAATCGAGAACTAGGGGTAAGCGGAATTGTAAATTGGGGGGCAGAGGGGTAAAGGGGCGACAATGGAGTAAGGAAACCAGAAGGTATGCGCGAGCTTTCCTCCGATTTACCCTCCTTCCTGTGTAGGCGTCGGTACGGGGGGTTTCACCTCCTGCGCGTCCGATTGGTGATCCGTCACCGTGGCTTCAAAGAGAGCGGATTGTCGCTCAGGAGAGCATTAACAAAGGGATTAAAACAAACTTAACTACAAATATCTGTTCTCTACAAAACAGTCAAAATTTAAATGTCAAAAAAATCAATATTATCTTGTCATGGCTGAGGATGGGTCAGTGCTGTCGGCTGATATCACGTCGTGATTAGCTATCACCTTTTTCACTTTTCCTCGAGATTTGTGTACATGGCGTCAAGATCGATACGTCGATTGATGCATGAGTCATCAGAGTGAATGGCCTCTAGGAATTCTCGGCCTTTCTTATGTGGGCAGGAACCGACAATGCGTATTTTATCTCAAGCGAATTTGTGCCCTGTTTAAGAGTATGCATGACGAGTTTGGATAAGTGGTCCTGCCTCTTCGCTGCCAATTGGTATTCATGTAGGCGTGTAGAGGCGGGTTTTCCGGTTTGACCACAATACACTGCATTACAAGTGCTACATGGACTCCTATGGAATACTTCTTTTTTTTTATCCAAATAACCAACCCTATCCTAAGGGTCTACAAGCTAATCGCGTAGCGTGGTCGTCGGTTTGTGAGCCGCCTGTATTTGGTGCTTTTTCAGGTGTCTTACAATGAGTTCAGACACATTTTTGATGTAGGAAGCGTTCGCTAATATTTTGGTTTTGGTGTCTGATCGGAACAATCTAGTTCATTCTCTCTGTCTTTTGATTCCCCCTGTTTTATGCATCGGCGTACAAAATCCCTAGTGCAGCCGTTTTGGGAAAATAAGTTAAACTGATAATTGAGTTCTTCTTTGTACCCTTCGTTCTCAGAGCAATGTGTCTTTGCTCGATTAGGTAGGGTGTTAACAGCACTCCGTTTGTGAGCCATAGGGTGGTTGCTCTCCTAATGTAGGATAACTTCCGCGTAAGTTTCTTTGCGGTATACTGGTGTCTGGAGTGGCCCGTCAGTTTTTCGCTGTATGAGGACATCAAGAAATAGGAGTTTATCGTTAAGAGTGAAGGTGATTCCCGGTAGTGTTGAGTTGATAGTGTTATGCAAAGTTTTTAGCTGATCTCTCTTGACGATGACAAAGGTGTCATCTACGTAGCGTACCCACAATTCGGGATTAAATAATGGTAAGGCCATAGACTCTAATTATTGCATTGCGACCTCTTCGAGGCTTTTTACCTGCCCAGTTTCTGCGAATACCATCCATTTTTATTTTCCTTCCTTAACCGTCTGTTTAGATCTCTTATTAACCACGCAGGGCGACTAGCCATTTTCGCACTTTCGCTGTACAACAGGGCCGAATAAAATCTAGTGAAATTGCCTATCCAGTCGTCCACCTGATTCCCCTTCGAGAAATCTGTCCCAATTCTTGAACGTCAATTCGTTCTTCCTCATGTTAGAATCTGTATCCCATATGTTTCGCTAACCTCCATCCTCTTCTGGCGTTGAAAATGAAGTGATAAGTCCCAAAGCAAAGTGGTATGGTCACTTATACTAAGAGGTTAAATGAGGTGCACTTAATCAACGTTAGACAAGTCTCTGGGGAAATGTAGGCCCAGGCAGTTCGTTCTCTGATGCTCTCTAAATCTCTGTGTTTACCTTCTCTGCCAGAGGGATGTCAAGTGAGAAGCCCGTAACCTTTTAGTTAAAAAACTAAGCGCACCGTCGACTGGCAGACTGACTAAGTCTACTGTAGTTGCGTTGAAACTTTGGCAATAAGACCTCTTGTTAGCTAGCTAGCTACTTCTTTGACCATACTGAGGAGCGAAACATCAACTGAACACGGAAAGATTGGCGATCTGTGAACCGTCAGGAATTCTGGATTCTGCAAATAAATTTTCTTCGTCTTTACCCATGCAGATATAAATTAACGGAAGAGAGTATGCGTTCGTTCAACGATGGAAATTCCTGACGTTGCAATTACGGATACCCTATTATCCTATCTACTTTAACGGTATCTCGCTATCCTCGATTTCGAATTTCAGCCAGGTTTTTTATGGTAATGACATCAGGAGGTCGTTCTGAAATAAGCATATTGAGTTTGTTCAGATTTTCATCTGTTCGACTTATTCTAGGAAACCCCTTTTTGTCAGCATTCAAACGAACACTTTGGGTTGCAGCCTAGTTAGCCCTGTGTTTTAAAATGACCTTTCGTTTTTCTCGACATATCCCTTTTTTCACTGTCCTACACGCCCTTTAACCTTTGGATTTATATGCAGTGATAATATCAAACCCTGTAAATAGAGTACTTATGCTTATTTCCCTTAACAAACTGAACTGAGCATCTTTCGCTCTTCCTCCAATCGTTCGGGATATAAATTTCCGCCTAAATGCCCTTAAAAGTACTTAAAGAATGACACGCTTTTATTTGGTGGTCTTCAGGTCTAATTGTAAATTCTCATATACCTTATTGACCAACCGTGACCCTTTTAGTTGGCGACTAGGCCACTCTTGAATCTCCAGGCGACCTTGAACGCTCAATTTTTCGAGGTCATGCCAACCAGGCGACTGGATGATTTAGTTTATACTAAATTGTGGGATAAGCATTTCTCTTATAAACTAGAGAACCCGGTGTGCACTTGTATATAACTGAAGCAATTTTTAGTAAATTGTAAAAATTTAACTTTTACAGTCTAGAAGTGACCAGAGAGTATGAGTGAACACCAGCAAAAGAAACTCCCAATGTAATAATTTTTCGCGTGAGATTACATTTCAACCAGGTGTCAGTTGCAATGGGAATGCGTCGACGCTAACACCGGACCAAAGTCTGCGTATCATACAGGTAAGTAAGCCAATAAATGAGTTCAATCGTCGAACAACGCGTAGGATAGTAAGTGGTAAATTCGATTCCTTCTGGCACAAGCCTCGCCGAGCCCTCTCAGATAAGGCGGAACTGTGACGTGGCATACAAATACCACCTCCCTCTAGCCTCTCCTTTATAAAAATATGCGCGGGGAAGGTTCGTTCATTGCCATTTTTGGTACCCCTGAACAATACCGATCTCCGCGTGCACAGCGCATTCCCGCGAGACGTTACTGTATCACCCTTAAATATGGCACACCGAAACCCCCAAACGAGTCATAAGGTGTACGCCTTAAGACCCATCTTTTTGATGCAATATATTATAGTTTTAGGGCGTCCTGCACAGTCCCCACTATTTTGCACAGTGCAATAGAGACTAGATGGGTTGAATGCAAAGAAGGTCTTAAGACATAGTTCTAGGAGCTCGATGATGTGAACTCGTTTGAACTGCTGATCGGTCTCATCATACTTTTCTCGGAGAAAACCGTCAATAGTGTCGATAGCCAGCGAGGGTGGGATTGAGGTGAACAATGAGATCACGTCAAAAGACACCATTACCTCATCTGCCTCCACTTCGAGACGTTCGATGCGCGACAAAAACTCTTCAGCCGATTTCACTGTCCACTCTGAATCCTTGGTATGAAAACTAAGTCGCTGGTACAGCTACTTTGACAGTCCAAAGGTTGGAGTACCACGTAAGGAGACGATGGGGCGTAGCGGCACTCTCGGCTTGTGGACCTTTGGTAGGCCGTAGAAGCGCGCCATTGCGGCATCACCGGCTTTTGCGGCCAGCGTTTCCCTTCTAGTAAGAGCGCCCGCCTTCCTCAGCTTGTCGATCGTCTTGTTCATGCTGTTTACGAGCTTTTTCAACCCGCTGACAGCCGATTGCGCATAAGCTTCCTTGCCCATCAAGAGGTTGCCTAGTTTTTTGAAGTACTCTGCCTTATCCATGACGACAGTCAAGCGCTCGACTGTTCGTGACCTTTGCCACCCATACGGAGCTTGTTTGCTTCGTGAAGCCAATAGATCGGTGTGCGTCCATTCCTGATTGAAAAATACCCGATCTGCAGCGACAGAGAATGACAGGTGGCGAGGCACTGATGAACTTCGGTTCGATGAAGTGCTTATGACCCATCTGGTAGACCCCATTGGTGGATCAACTGCGTCAGATGCGCCTGTGCGCATGTTTATGTTTTTGGTCCCAACTGCTGGTGGTCAGGGTTATGATTGGCTGAATGAAGGCACAGTAAGCCTGAAACAGTACTGTATCAATCTACCCACATTCTCTTCCGTCCCTCCTCGCTGTTATTATGAATTGGCCGACTTCGGCCTGGTAATTGGTTGCCTGTTCGTGATCTTTGTCACCCATACGGAGCTTGTTTGCTTTGTGAAGCCAATAGATCGGTGTGCGCCCATTCCTGATTGATGAATACCCGATCTGCAGCGACAGAGAATGACAGGTGGCGAGGCACTGATGAACTTCGGTTCGATGAAGTGCTTATGACCCATCTGGTAGGCCTCAGTGGTGGACCGACTGCGCCAGGTGCGTCTGTGCGCATGTTTGTGTTTCTGGTCTCAGCTGCTGGTGGTCAGGGTTATGATTGGCTGAATGAAGGCAGAATAAGCCCGAAACAGTGCTGTATCAATCTACCCGCATTCTCTGTCGTCCCTCCTCGCTGATATATATATATATATTCTCTTGTCTGACGACGACACGGGGAACCGACGTCGAAAAATTTTTCCATAAAGTTTTATCTCTTTCCCAAACAACGCATTTGGTTTCAAATATATATATGTATATATAGACATATATGTAGAATGTTATTACCGACAAAGACAAGGGAGACTGGAATGGCCACTTCTGGCTTATCAGCCGTCGTCAGCCATTCATACCCAGCCCCGAAGTGTGGAACACACAAGGCTCGAACTCGCGACCTGTTAGTTAGAAGTCCACGCCTCTACTCACCGGGCCACGAGCCCGTTGCCCTGTCGGTTTTCGATCGGGAATAAACAATGTTAGGGGGCGCTCACCGATCGTTTCTACGGAACTCACTCGTCCCGTTGTGCCTTAGGACTCCCTCTCGAGTCCAACCAGCAGCTGCACAGCTGCGCATGATATAAGCAGAATGGCATTACCGACAAAGACAAGGGAGACTGGAATGGTAATTTCTGGCTTATTAGCCGTCGTCAGTCAGTCATACCCAACTGCGGGGAGTACAGTGCAGGCCTGGCAGGCGGTCGCCTATTTGTGACCTTTTCCATCCATACGCAGCTAATTTGCCTCAAGAAACCGGTAGATCGGTGTGTGTCTCTTCCCTCTTCAACAAATACTCGACCTGCAGCGACCCAGCATGGCAGGTAGCAAGACACTGATGAACTGCGGTTTGTTGAAGTGTTTGTGACCTGACCGCTAGATCCCGTCTACAGACCGTCTGCTCTGTGTCCGAGCGCATGTTTGTGCTTCTGGTCTCAACTGTTGGTCAGGGTAATGGTTAGCCCAATGAAGGCAGCATAAGCCCGAAACAGCAATGCATCAGTCCAACAGCATTTCCTGACGTCCCTGTCCTCTACAGTGCGTGACCGATCTCATGAAATGTCGGACAAAATTCTGCAATGCATTTCCGATTAGGAAGGATTACTAAAGTGGGGTTGTTATACTGATTATCATGCAGCATTACCCTATAAGATTTCGGACTCTCCAGGATGCCGCTTTTGAATGTACTTCTTTTTTGCCTCCTGTAGAAACCACACTCGGTAAAAAATGACCACTTAAGTAGCATGCATTTTTCTTGTAGATTTTCGATGTTCTTGCAAATTCAAATATATTTTACAGAAAACACGCACAAAAATACGCTTTTTTTGCTCATTTGAAAGGAAATCACATTGTCTTCATATTTTATGCCTGAAGAAAGTGTGTATTTAGGTTTAAAAAAGTTTCACAATTCCCTAATAATTTTCAGCCTGGTCTGCCATTGCATCAGCGTTTAGCAATTTCAGTCTATAAGGTGCATTCTTTCCGCGTAAGGAAAATCATATATTTCCCTATATCTTTACAAACCCACCACGTAGAGTTCATGAAATTTTGCAATGGATCCGGATTGTGTTGTAGATTTCATGGGGAGCAGGCATTTTTCCTATTGATTTCCGGTGGTCTTATCATTTCAAATATGTTTTATAGAAAACATGCACAAAATATGCTTTCTTCTGCTCATTTGGAAGGAAATCACAGTGTATTCATAGTTTATGCCTGAAGAGAGTGTGCATCTAGGTTTTTAAAAAGTTTCCCAATTCCCGAATAAATTTTGGCCTAATCTGCCATTGCATCAGCGTTTAGCAGTTTCAGTCTACAAGGTGCACGCTTTCCGCGTAGGGAAAATCATATATTCCTCTATGTATTTTAGAAGGTATCACATAGAGTTCATGAAATTTTGCAAGGGATCCGAATTGTGTTGTACATTTCATGGGGAGCATTAGTAAACGAACATGTGCGCTCTTGCATGCATGGACATCGCACGGTCTTCAAAATCTCATAATTAGAAACTTTTTTAAAACCTAAATATAAACTTTCTTCGTGCGTAAAATATGAAGATAATGTGATTTCCTACTAAATGAGCAAAAGAAAGCATATTTTTGCATGTTTTCTATAAAATGTATTTGAATTTATAAGACCATCGAAAGTAATTGTAAAAATGCATGCTCCTTAAGTAGTCATTTTTTGCCGACTGTGTTTTCTGCAGTAGGTCAAAAAGACATGCATTTAAAAGCCGGCATCTTGGCGAATCCGAATTTTTATAGGGTTATGCTGCATGATAATCAGTATAACAACCCCACTTAAGTAAAACTTCCTAATCGGAAACTCATTTCAGAATTTTGGCCGATATTTCATGAGATCGATCACGCACTGCACGCTGAGTCGTCGACTTCGCTCTCTATTCCCATTCTCGGGTCCCAGCTACTGTCCGAGCCGGCCAGATGTCTTGTGCGAGGAATGAGCGCAGTGGCTGACAGGACTAGAGAGCTCGTCTACGCGCGCCACATGCACGACCTGGCTCCCCCAAACGCGCACACTAGGTTTTCACACATAAAGGAGATATAATGCTCTGATCTCACATGCATCAGAGAAACCACACGGAGAAGGGAGCCGGAAAGCACACTTACGTGAGAGGTGCTGGTGATGTGGGATTGCGGAGTGTGCGTGTGTGTGGGGCATGTGTTGGTGGAGGAACGTGTGGTGATGTGGTCTCGCATGCGGCAATTTACCACAGTTTTTCGTGCAAGCGCACGTGATCTTATAGGCTCACACAGTGAGTGAATATGCGTAGGCATTATGGGCATTTGAGGCAAGTGCGGTGGCTGTCTGTCGGTGCTCCCTGCACTGGCTCGCCAGTCTCCGTGCGAGGGATTTACAAGTGACCGACCAGATCAGTGCGTGACTTACATCTGCGGTGACGATAAGGACATGATGGGTTCAGGGCTGTAGAATCGGTTGGGGCGGGGTGAGGCTGTCATCCGTGGTCATGCTGGTGGATGGGGAGTTGCTAGTACCGGCTATGGGAGCATTTTCGGATACATAAGGCGTGTTTGGGGCGTTGATACTGCTGTTATCTTCGTTTTCGTGGGTGCGCATGTGACCGAACAAGCCAATGTAAGGAGTGAGTATGCGTCCACAATGCGATCAGTGGAGGCGGTTGTATATCGGGGCTCTGGGCACTGGTGCACCAGTCACAAAGCGATAGGTTCACGAGTAACCGACTACGGCGATGCGTGAGGTGAATTTGCGATCGAAATGAGGACAAGTTGGGACCGAGTCCACACCGATGGAGGCGGGGGTTGTGGTAGTGTTGAAGGTGTTGGTGATTGACGGGGCTGCAGGAACTTTTCGGTCGATGGCTGGAATGGCAGAGGTGGTTGTGTTCGTCATCGCCGCGATGATTGAGGTAGAGATGGTGGAGTTAGCGGCGATCGACGGCGGTGCGGCACGGTGATGCGAAGCAACGGTGGCGAGGCTGGTCGCCGTCCTGGGCGGTGTGGAGGTTGGAACAGGGGCAGTCGTGGAGGCAGCAGTTGGGGTTGTCGGGCGGTTGGTTGATTCGAATATGACCAACGAGACCGATCCGCGCGCTGAATGTTCGTTAAGTGACGATGTTGTGGGCCAGGGGCGCCCGAGACTTGTGAACTTCCCTCGACGGCGATCCGATTTGCCTCGTAGATTGCGAGTCTTCACTGCTTTTCTCCGGGCCGGTCCGTTTTGGGCGAGGACTTCCCAGGTCTCCAGATCACAGTAGATAGTGACAAGGGACATGGTTACTGGTTTGAACAGTCCTATATGATTGCAAGGTGCACGACGAGGTACAACTTATTATAGTAAAGTATTCGCCGAGATGTGGCGTCTGCAATCTAGCTGTAGATCGCAGAATCGATTAAAGCTCTCCGCACAAATTGTTTTTACAGCGGCAAGTCTACCATAAACGAGGTTACCGAACTTTGGTTGATACAGGTCAAACCGCAAAAGTTCCATCTGCCGAAATAGACCTCACTACTGTGTTTCCCTCAACAAACTAGGCTGAACTGGACTCCGAAACTGATTTGACCTCCCCTGATTTTTCCGTCTAAATACGAACTTCGGACTTTTGAAACCTGTTTTACCAAAATTTGCTAAGATCCCACCAGAACTCTCTCAGATGAATTCGAAGTAGGCACCCTTTAGTGTTAGGAAACGTCTAATCTCTATCTAACTTACATAAGTCCACACTAGATACTGTGATCAGCAAATACTCTCATATAAAAATTCCAAACGCCCATTTCTTGAAGCCAGAGTTTTTAATTAGATGGGAACCTTTGGAGGACTGCTATCCCGCACTTTTCTTCACAGGTACCATAATTGGAAACTATCTTTATGTGCATGGTGGCCTACCGGAATCAAGTGAGAAGACCAAGAAATCATTGAATGGACTTTATCGCATCCAGTTACACCCCTTCGTGGGAACATGGACGGACCTGACAACCGACGATTCGCCTGCACTGAGCCAACATCAGTGTATCAACTGGAAGAACCAGTTGATAGTTTTCATAGGTAACTGTTTCTTGTGGCGGATAACGACGAGAAAGAGCGAAATTTTATGAAGGAGTGATTTTTAAGTAGCCGAAGAAAAGATTAAAACGAGCACATTCAGGAGTGATTTGGGGTTGTGGTCTCGGTTGGGAAGTAAAGGAAATAGCTCCAACCTCATTGGTATGACCGCAGAAGGTTAAAAACGTCTCCTATAATTTAAAGAAGGGTCTGAGCTGAACACGTATGACCATTGTTGGTTGAAAAATGTCGGAAGGGTTTAATAACCAGATAAAACTACTAACACGTCCCACTCCTTAAGATAGGAAGGTCATGCAATTAACAACGTTTAGTTAAAAAAAGAGGACGGCAGTTCTTCTTCCAGTTGGGCTAAGCAGTATCACCCGTTCCTCCTGTCTGAATCGGCATGTCCAGAAGGCCTGATATTTTCATTTTGATATAGAAAATGTAATTTCTACTAACTTTCTGTTCTCCATATTATGAATTAAAATGTTAAGTTGTTGATTATTTGTCGTTCACTACTATAGGTTTCCGTCTAACTTTAGGTGACCCAAAAGTAAAACCATCTTTTTCTGGTTATTTCGTAAAAAATTAAGTGTTCCATGAAATTTCCATTCCAATGGTCCAGCTAATAATCCGTCCTCATTAGACTCACCCATTTCAATGGGGTACGGTTATAAGTAGTACAGTTAGCCTTGCGTTAAATTCTAGGAGGTTAGGCTTAGAAGGGTTGGCGTTAGGATAGGGGATCAAGTTAAAATACGAGAATAGATGTCCCCCTGGAATTTGGCGCAAGGTCACGTATAGTAGGGCGGGAGGGGGAAGGGGGCGCACATTTTCTCGCATGCAACCGTTATCTCATAAAGTTTGACTGGCTTATACTTCCTTCAAATATGGCGTCTGCACTTTCAGAACTGGCCAAAGACAGTTCGCAATTGAAGGAAGGATTCTGAAGTGTAATTAATGTAATGCAATCAGTAATTACTCCCACTCTATGTGCAATCTTGACTTTGTTTTGAATTGTTGTCGAAAAATCCGGAAGATCAGTCAGTAAAAGCTGATACATCCTTTGCAATGGAGCATCAAGCCAGATGACAACTAAGCGCCCCAGCTCGGTTTCTAAAGGAGGCTGAAGAATTACATAGCAGTAGCATTTCTCAAAATAATGTGGTCTAACTTAGTGGAAACTTGGAGGTACTTCATGACTACCTGAAGTCAACATTATAGCAGCAACATCCTTCAATAATATGGAAGGGACTCAAATGCAGGCGTGATCTTTCCTGTCATTACTACGTACGGAAGATTTGACACCAACTTATAAAAAAGCGGCATAAGTAAACAAGTTTCTCAAAGAAAGCACCTGTTATATCAGGGGGGGGGCTCATGAAGTTTTGATCGAAATTCTGAAATGTGCTTTCGATTGGAAAAGATTACTTAAGTAGGGTTGCGGTATTGATTATCGTACAGTATCATCCTAAGGATGCTTGGATGCCAGCTTTTGAATGAGCTTCTTCTCGGCCGGCTGCTAAAACTACACTTTGTAGCAATGACTACTTAAGTAGTATGGACTGTTCCAATTGGTTTTCACTGTTATTATAAATTCCACTATATTTCATAGAAAATATGCACAAGTATATTCTTTCGAATATTCCTCGAATTTTATACTCAAACAAAGGATATCTTTAGACTTTTAAAGACCTCCAGTTTCTGAGTATTTTTTTGCCCCGCCTGCCGTCATACCTTCATTTAAGATTTACGAACTACCACTACACACTGTAGAACTACAGTACCTGTGCTAACTCATGAAATGTCACGAATTAACACAGGTCAACGACTTTAACGCAAAATCGGTAAACACTACGGCTCCCAAAGTCTGACAGCGGAAAATAAACGATGTGTCAAAGAAATAAAGTAAAGTTTGGTTAAGAAAATATTATTTACTGAGATAAAAATAAATAATTTTCGACAAAAGTCACATTTTCGAGAAACGCCTATATTACAACCAAGTTAGTGATGGCTACGTATGAGGACGTATAAAGGAGGAGGGCGCATAAAAGGTCAAAAATAATTAAGGACAGAAACAGATACAAAAAATTAGTACTTTGTAGATTGTCCATTCGAATTAAGAACAGCAGAAAGTCTGTCCGACATAGACATGACAAGGTTATCTATGGTGGATTGTAAAATGTAATTATTGATTATTAAATCCAATTTTTCCTGCATTGAAAGGGTCTTCTTAGCTTTGTGCCAATTTCTTTTGACTATTCCAAAAAGATTTTCGATAGGATTCAAATCGGGACTGTTGGCCGGCATGAAAATTGATTGGAGGCCAATTGCGGAGAGCGTGGTTGTTGTCTAAAATGTTAGATTATATTTGCAAACGGCATCAAATTCGTACCTCTTTAGAGCGGTGGACAGGTGCATTGTCCTGCAAAATTACAGTATCCATTCGGCGCCGACTTATGCCGTTGTAGCCGAAAGCATCCTTGGCAATTGCAATGAACACCTTGCTGTTGATGGTGTCGGATGTTGACCGCCAGACAGGCCGCTCACCGAATTTAATCGCCATCCAAACCATCATCCGCCGACAGTTCTTGAATGTTGCCGTCGGTGTAGTGTGTTCTCTTGGGAAGTTCTTTCCACATATGACGGTTTAGAACGATTTCGTAGGCTTGTCTAAAAATGGAACCTCATGCTCTTTACATTCCGTCAAAGGAACATCACTCATTCATCTATGCTTTCAGGGAGGCGTCCTATAGCATTTAAAGGATTGTGCAATGGATATGGACCAGGTTGTGTACTTTAGGAGTGATATTAATAAACGTGCTGTGTGAACAGACATTTCAGGGTCTTAAGAAATCTCATTATCGGGAACCTTTTTTAAAACCAGAAGAGGGTCCAGGCTGTAGATTTTTTCGTGAAACAAGATGATATTACTTGCCCAAGATGAGCTTTGATTTCACGTATACATGCCAGGCGGATGGACTGGGCGAACACGTATTCCTGGCCTACACTTCTTCAGTCATGAAAGCGGACGTTGGTTGCCACCAGCCGTGAAGGAACCGGAGTTGAGGGGATATCCCCAAGGTGCCGGTTTATCAGCTCACACCGTGATCCCCTTCGAGACGGATCCCAAATCAAACTCCCTTTCCGCCCTCATTTTCGGTCGCGAGGGTTCCACCCGAATCCAGCGACGTCGGGGAAACGCTTATCTCCTGCAAGGTAATGTTACAACCAAAGATACTCCCTTACTAACAACGAATGCCTTAAATCATCAAAGCGAATAGACGGATTCCAGATGCCCTAGTGGTTAAAGTGAACTCTTGACAATGCACCATATACTCATCCGACACTAGGACGCTGTTAGGATTCCATAACTACCCCAGGAAATCACGAGTTAGCGCTCAGATAAGATAAAATCACATGCGATACGAGAAGGGACCATTAGATCCTCCCACTGCTCGACTGGAGAGTACTGTGCCTACGCTTGTAAGTATGGGAAGAGGAAGCAGCGTAAGTAACATATATTCTTTTAACATAAAATTTAAGGCACCGTTGAGGAAGACGCGACAAGGATAACATTTGAATCCAGGCGCTCGGAGTGGGCTAGACGACGGTCTTTCGCTTAGGACACGGGACCCGCACTTGCTGCTGGAGCACGTAATTTTCTGACCCAATAAACAGTAATTTTAGCAGCAGCAGCAGCAGCAGCAGCAGCAGCAGCAGCAGCAGCAGCAGCAGCAGCAGCAGCAGCAGCAGCAGCAGCAGCAGCAGCAGCAGCAGCAGCAGCAGCAGCAGCAGCAGCAGCAGCAGCAGCAGCAGCAGCAGCAGCAGCAGCAGCAGCAGCAGCAGTGGAAGTGCTGGTAATATCTATAGTGTTAGTAATGACTCGGCTCCTCAGAATATCAGAAGGCGAAGATGCGATCACTGGAACAATAAATTTATTGGCCTGACGTTTCGGATTCTCACTCGAGCCCAGCACCAGAGACAGTCGCAGATAAGGGTAATTGTGACACGAGTGCAGTATTTACAACGCGTGGCTGCCGTGGGATCATATGCGTACTGTAATTAACAGCTATCATAATCACCGCTGGGGTCGTAATTGATGCGATGGTGGCTTGTCAGTCCGCGTCCGAGTCATTAATTGCCATAATTTCGTCATCCGTGTTGGATGCTGGTGTGAAGATTGCTCGGCAAATTGGCTCAATGTCACTGGGATAATTGCGCGCCCGCACCCTACCCACGTGACTGATTCCCCTGCCCAGGGAAAATCTCAGCACGGGATATGGTAACGGGAGGTCATTGCGCTTGTTGATAGATTGCGGGCCTGCAAGCCATGACTCGAGCAGCCGCGGCTCACGTGGTTGTCACCCCTTGCGAGGATTTCGGTCTCCTGACACTTGAAAATATGGCCGGGTCCCGTCGAATGAACCGCCACCTGAGAGCTAGCGTCTCCCCGCCTCACTGCTGCTGCGTGCTCGGCAATTCGCGTTCGGAGTAATCTCCCTACTTCTCCGACGTAGTTGCTTTGTCCGCAACGGCACCAGATCCGGAAAACGACTCCTGACGTTTCCTGCCGTGGCAGTGGGTCTTTCGGCCTCATGACTTGGCACCTAATGGTTGCTTCAGGCCTGTGTGCAACCTCAACTCCAGTTGGAGTGAGAAGACGACTGACGGCTTCCGAGACGTTCCTCACGTACGGAAGAGCCCGCCAAGATTTGGAGCCGGTTGGATTTGGTCTCTGGTGTCCTTTTCGTATGCACTGGTTGACAAAGTTGCGCGGGTGACCATTGGCTCTCATTACCCGTGGAAGATATTGTAATTCAGCAACCTTGTCTTCCATTTCACTGCAGTGCGTCTCAACGCGCCGATATAGCTCCCTTACGCAACTGCGTTTGTGACTGATTGGGTGGTTGCTGTTGAAGTTCAGTATTTGCGTCGTATTTGTCGCCTTACTGAACAATTTAGTTTTTAGGCCACCACAATCTTTGCGGCAAACGAGGACATCCAGGAAGGCCAGCTGGTTGTTTTCGTCATTCTCTATCGTAAATTGAATGTCCGAGAAGATGGCGTTGAGATGTTCTTTGAATATCAGCACCTGATCCCGTTCGACGACGACGAAGGTATCATCCACATACGGAGCGCAGAATTTTGGTCTGTGGTATCGGAAAACCAACGACTCCAAACGTCGTAGGACCACCTCGGACATGACTCCCGAAATCGGGGAACCCATTGGCGTGCCCTTCACCTGCTCGTAGATTGTTCCATCGAACGTAAAGTACGTCTTGAGGCAGAATTTCAGGAGCTGCATGATTTGGGAGTGTCCGAGGCGATTCTCCGTTTCGTCGCATGGTCTCGAATGTCAGGTTCTGCGGGATAGAAGTAAAAAGGGACGTGACGTCAAAGGAAACCAAAGGACTGTCTCTGATGATGGATTCGAGTGAGAATCCGTAACGTCATGTCAATAAATTTCTTGTTCCAGTGGTCGCATCTTCGTCCTCTGAGCTGCTACCTGGAACTCGCCCGTTCACTTCTATCGGCAATCCTCCGAATATCTTATGCTGAGATATTATGGACTGCGAGCAGTCACAGCTGGGCGACCACTTTTCTATCAGCGCAACATATTCTCAAGTTGTTGTCCCGTTTTACGTCAATAGATGACGTTTTTGTGGTTTTTTCCAGGCTCCTTCCGATCTTCAAGTATCTCCGGACTGGGCGACGTGGGTCCAGCGGGCTTTAAGCCACGATTCATCTACACAGAAGCACCAGGCGCCCTGCATATTGAGTCACGCAGCTACCACACCTCCACACCGACCAGCCACAGTAGAGTGGTTACTGTCGGCGGCAGGTCTAATTCCACACTCGAAGTGGTCGATCTTCGCGGCATGTCCCACCTGCCGCCCCTCGAGTTCAATCGTGCTACCTGCGACGAGGTCACCTATCTCTTGGATGTGGACGCTAGACAGCCCTTTGAAGCAGTGTCATCAGATCGCATAAAATTGTCGTAAGTCTCATATTTTACACCACCACCACCACCACCACCACCACCACCACCACCACCACCACCACCACCACCACCACCAAAATGAATGATGACAACCAATAAGCTAGAAACAGCCACTGAACTCTTATTTTCCCGAGACACTTTTCGACGACAGAGAGATCGTCCCGACGTGGTTCTCCAGAATCATGATTCCATGGAAAAGAGGAAATGAGCATTTCCCCACTCGTCAGCCAGAATAGCTCAGTGAGCACCACTCCCCTGCGGCAGCGCTGGTGGTCTCAATATTCATTACAATGGAATGTAATTCAAAGGTATTTCGGTCACGCCAGAATACCGGCTTTTGCATGCGCTTCCTTTCGGCCGCCTGCAGGAACCACGCTCGCCAAAAGGCTACTTAAGTAATATGGTTTTTTTCATGGATTTTCGATGACTTTGTGGGAGCAGGTGTGTTTTACAGACAAAATTGTCAGAAATATTATTTCCAGTTCTCACTCGATAGAAAGTAGTGTCCTTTCCAGATTTGATTTTCGATTAAAGGGCCTATTTAGGTTTTAAAGACTTTTGAAGTCCCCAGATAATTTGAAGCCCGATCTGCCGTCGCATTTGCATTTAGGGTTTACAATCCGCAAGCTGTAGAATGTCCATGCAAGGAAAAACACACATTCCTTTATGTCAATAAGAAGATATCATATAGGGCTCGTAAGATTTTGCAACGAATGTGGACGACGTTGTATACTACATACATGCGAACATTTTAAACCGAAAGATACCCTCTCCTCATGCATAAAATTTGAGGGAGACGTAATTTGCTACCGAATGAACACAAGAATGGATATTTTTCGGCATGTTTTTGCAGAAATTGTCCGAATTCACAGGAGCGTGGAAGATTGGTTGTAAAAATTCATACTACTTAGGTGGTCGTTTTTACCCAGGATAGTGTTTCAGGTGGCCGAAAAGGAATGCATTCGAAAGCCGGCATCTCCCTGTGACTGAAATATTTTGGGATTAAGATGCACGACAATCAATATTACAACCTAAAGTAAGTAATTCTTTTATAGAGCCAAAAGTTTGTGGGCACTATCTATACAATATGTTTGGATTTTTAAGGGAATGGAAAATCAGTGAAAAAGTCCATACTATACAATAGGGCATTTTTAACGAGTTTATTTCTTGCAGTCGGCCGGAAAAACGTGTATTAAAAAGCCGGCTTTCAGACATGACTGAAATATACTGGGATTATACGGCATGATACTGAATATTAAAAACTCACTTCAGTAATCCCTTCTAGTCGACATCATATTTCAGAATTTCCCTCAAGGTCTCGTGGGATATGTCACCTACTGTAAGAGTGTAACTAACCACTCAGTCAGAACCGGCACGTCCTCTAATGACCGATAGGATATTTTCACCTGTAGCGAACTGCCCTCATTTCCCTTAACAGTGCTCAATTCCGGTGCCAATGAAAGTCCAGGCATTCTTTTGAGTGGCCTTCGCCTCAAAACGGGATTGGGTGAAATTTATCTAACGGGATAAATTGCGTGAGCTGTACGCACAGCAAAAAAAACAACTGGAATAGACGCCAAAAAAGTATTTCAGAGGCAGATTTATCAATTAGGAAATCCGGCTTGTTGGCGGGAAAGGAAAGATCTGCCCTCCTGAATACGACGTCTAGAATATAGCCATTGCCGAAGGTCGCATTTCACGGGCACTATCTACACTTCTTAGATTAATGCCTTCTGGTAAAAGAACCGCAATGCTACCGTAAAGCATGTGACTTACAAGTCAGTAAGTGATGTTTTCCGAAGCCCTACGAAAGCAGGTTTTTCCATCTGAGAGCATGCTGAGAGTGTTTCATCCATATTTCCAGACCTCCGGAACCTAATGCATGCTACCAACACAGGACCACGCTCTCCCAAGTTGCGCCATTATTCTGAGGGGTCTGTATATGCTACTCCATGTTAACGTTTACCAAATGGCAAGATCGTGCGTCTGCCTGTTAATTGAAAAGAGTATTCCTACGAATAACTGCTGTATAACTCTTAAACGAAGTTATCAAGGACGACAGTCTGACAGCAAAAAGGTACCGACTTCTGCCGATGAACTAGTTACATTTTTGTGTGCACACCGCCCTCTCCGAGTCCAAATTCAAGAAACTGGAGAAAACGAGACTCGATGTTTTTGTTCTGTCTCCCCAAAAGTAAATCATTTGCTAGGATCCATCTCGCTGATTATGACGGCGACGGGTTTGCTACGGGGAAAACTAACCAAAGTTATTTAGCGGCTTTTTGTGTTTGTAGAGGTTGGCGAGGACATTACGCGATACCCGGCGGACGCGGATTCCTGGTTGGCGGCGGAGACGGCTTCTCTGCCCTACGCCCAGATCCCCTCGACATGGCATACATTCACGCCCCAGCCAACAACAACCTCCTCAGTTAGTGAGTTGACTGCAGCAGTTATTTCCATCTCGGAACAGACTATTTAATTCCAACATTTCAGGGTCTGTCTACCATCTCTTGCCTAAGAGGCCGGACATCTACAGGCTTGTGTTTAAGAAGGCCGTAATATTTAAAGGTCAGACTAACTCACGCATGTGCGCATTCTGAAAGACGTCCGCACCTAGCGGAGGGGGGGGGGAACGCAAAACCAACAAGATTCGTTTAATCTGTTCCTGCAGTCGCGAGTCGGTTTCTTTATCGCGATGATCGAAAGTTGGTGCTAGTGCGTAGATGGAAACGACTGGGGCGTAAGTAAAATTCTCCCTGAGTCGTACGTGCGCTAAGCAGTCACTGAGTAGCCTTCACGCAAACTAGACTCTGTAACAACGACGACTTCTGTTATTTCCACAAAAGTACAGAGATACCTTGTAGAAACCATAAGCGAAAATATGCCTTCTTTCAGTCTTTTGATAGAGAATGACGTCTTCCTCATATTTTATACTCAAAAAGGAGTATAATTGGGCCTTAAAAAGTTTTCTAACTGACGAATAATTTGGAGTCTGATCATTCATTGCATTAGCGCTTAGTGATTTCAGTCTACAAGGTGCATGCGTTCCGCATAAAGAAAATCACACATTCTTCTATGTCTTTAAAAAGATATCATACAGCGTTCATAAAATTTCGCAATGGATGCAGACTATGTTGTACATTTCATGAGGAGCTGCGGTAAGCGGACAGGTACGATGCTGTGTGAATGGACATTGCACGGTCTTAGAAAATCTCATAATTAGAAACTTTTTAAAAACCTAATAACACGCCTTTTTCCCTTCGGGGATTATGCGCAAGCCCACCATTATTACTTGGGCTGAGCATTCCTATTTCCATGTTCTATTTAAGGGGCCATATAAGTCAGTTCTACCGAAAAACTTTTCAAAAATGGAAGGATACTCTTTCTTTAAGTGGTAAATTTGGAGAAAACGTAGTTTGATAACACATGAGTGCAGCGGAGAATATCTTCTGTGAACGCTTTCTATATAAGGTAATTTAAGTTACAAGAATATCAAAAATCAACGGGAAATCTTATACTACTTAAAGCTGGCATCCCGACGCGAGTGAAATATCTTGTGGTTATGCTGCCCGGCAGCGAATATTACAGTCCCACCAAAGTAGCCCTTTCGAATCGAAATCATATTTCAGAATTTCGGCTAACACTTCACGAGATAGCAGATTTACTGTACATGTCCTCGGTAATAGAGGCAAGATGACATGGTTGAACTATCGTGACGTTGTAATCCCAAGGTGATATTCAAACAAACTAGCCTCCAAGGTTGGTGTAGATGCCCCAACTGCGACAATTTCTGAGTGTCCATCATGACTACCAACAACTGACGGCCGTCTGCTTGGTGGGCCTTCTGAAACACTTAATTTCGTCCATCTTAAGTAACTGTCGTGAAGATTATGGAGCTATGCGGTATTCATGAAAAATTGTTGCTGTGAGTAAGACCTGCTCTTGCTCAACTTCTGCATGTGTGTTGCCTGTCCGAAGAAACCCTCCCAGTCGTTCTAACGCTCCGCAAGATTGCATCATGTCGCCTATTTCCTTCTACCATGTTATTGGCTGGGTACACGGGGGACCTGCATGCGGCCTGTCTCGTGTCGAGTTCGTGCCAGACAATTGGCTGACTGACCCCCCGCTACACCGACAACATTGCAACTTTCTTGCTGCCTTTGGGTGAAGGCGATCGCCAAGTCAATCGCTTTACCCATGAAGCCTGCAGAAATCAAAATGTAATCTGGTCAGAGCAAAGTACCCCCCCCTGATTAAATGGTTGTCAGCTCGAAGATGTAGCTAGGTCTCAAACATATGAGGGCCAAATTGCTGTCAGACAGACTAGGTGAGGACGACATCATCGCTCGAACAATGCTACTGGCAGGGTTTTGCCAATCATAGGGGACGAACTTCCCCCCCCCCCCACCCCCCCGGTATCGCATGTACCGGCCGGTCCTGTACGGTTGCGTATGCTCAACTATGCGCGATGGAATAGGAGCGATAAGCGGGGGAGTTTGATTGCCGTTAAATTCCTCTCCGATGAGACAGACCAGACTCCTTACAAGAACAAGGACGACTGCGGTTGTCTGCTGCCTTCAATCTGACGCCAGTGGCTAGCTTAAGACGGCGGAGAGGAAGTCGGTTCAAAACCTGCCTCAACACAGTCCATTCAGACATGGATGTGGGCCCTAGTCGTCTGGCATTCAGCTCTTCAGATCCGCTGCCACAGATAGCCACACGTGCCGAGGTACAAGCTGCGACATCCTCTACACTAAATAGAACATATTAAAAGCCGTAGGCACTTTGATTGGAGGTTTAAGGTGGACGAAATCTGCCGTGATGCCTCCCCACCAGACTGCGGTGGTGCGTACAGACTGTTTCGTTCAGCACGGAAAAGGCAGCCGTGTTCTGATACACACAAACAGGGTTTATTATCGGGTTGCTTATTGTGTCCAAACTCATCTTCAATCGCCTAGGCCTTGCCATGTCAACTGGAGCATCAATCTTTTGGCAAGATGAAAGTGAGGCTTATATTACTCAAAATGATTCGTCATTACCCGATTCACCCGAATGCCGTCACTTTTCGGCGATCAAAGTTCTCATTGACGGAGGATATACTGGGTCGTGTGTGAGGATCGGAGTAGTGATCGATTTAACAGTTAGACCAACGCGAACGACGATGTTCACCATGTGCTTCACAGCATGGCGAGTACAGAGACGGTGATTTGCGCGTGAATTAGTTTACCGGGGGTTACGGACTTGCGTAGTGTCTGCCACACTCTCTCACTCGCCTCGGTGGCAAAACCGAGTCAGGACGACCGGAGGCGGGGTTGGACGCAGCTAAACAATCCGTCTACAAGTGTCACACACGCGCGGTCCGCACAAAAAGGATCAAAATTTCCCAGAAACAAAAAAGAGGCAGCTGGAATCCCAACTGAGAGGGAGTTCCATTGAAGCTACGTTTAAAAGTAGCCGTTGAAGCCTTACTCTCCGTCCTGAAAGTATCGAGGTATCCTGTCAGTTGACAGCCTTCTAAGTCAAGACTACTGGCACACAGTGATAGTTTAAATGTACGTTGGATTGTTTATGATGGGGAATATGCGCTGAATGCCGTGGGCCGAATTCTCCTAAGCCGACCTTACCCGCCTCCCTCACATAGGCACTAGTTCGCTGTCTGGGTCAGATTTGGTTATGTAGCCCCACCTGAAGTAAACATACCCCAGCTACCTGTAATGCGGGATCGTTGGTAAAGGGTTTTTTTGCGCGTGGGGCCGAGGAACACACAGGCGACGAGGTCAAGCAGTTGAATGCAAAAGAAAAGCTATTAAGAATGCGCGGTTGTATTTTGAGTGGTTGAGAATTAGTTACCCTATCCCCACCCCCTAACCCTAACTCCAACAATATTGTGTCCATCAGGTGAGGCTACATAACCACATCTTACCTCTGTCTGAGCTAGTCAGTCATCTGATGCTGAGAGTGGGTGCAACAATCGATCTAGAAACTGATTGGAGAGTTTCTGAGGGCAACAAAACCTACAGCGAGGAGGCTCACGAAGTCAGTAGTAGTAGTTACTCCTGTCTTCAAAAATCAGTTTGCCATACACGCGCAGGGTCTGCCATCTGATATGCAATCAGAAGTTTAAACCTTGGTTTTGCCATGCCAGTCCCTACGCAGCAGTAGTATCGGTGCATCGGGGATGTGTTTAAAAATAGTCTTCAACCGGGCACGATGTGGGGGGTGGTAGCGCTGGAGTGGCCCTCTACTGCTTCACATCTAAATCGCGTCCAGCCACATAGAGCTCTGCTAGTCAACTGTTTAGCGCAGATAAAAGGGCACTTTCTAAGCCCCTCTTTCTATACTGAGATTTAAATTTTATTTTCCACCCTCCCTGAAGTGCTGGGCGTCTCAGGGATCGACGGGCGTACGCCGTGTGTTCCACAAATCCCACAGATGCAACCGCCTGGCTCCAGGGCGGTCTCGGACCCGGAATGAAGACCCTGGCCTCACTGATGCGCTTGCAAGTGGCCAAGGATATCGAAGACGTGACAACTGGGTCGTAGTCTCTGCGTCAGTTTCGCTCCTCTCCAAACTGACGACTGACCAAAACTCCCAGCTTCCTATTGAAAACTGTTTGTTTGACCTCCCCCCCCCCCGCGGACCTCAAGACCTCAGGTAACCCGGGAAATGTAAAGGGGCTACTGCCTGCAATTTTGGCAATAGATGCAGACCAGCCTTGTCTGTTCTATCTTGCTGGGGGGGAGTGTTGGCGCTACTTTTGAAAAGCCAAAGCAACAACCATTGGGTAGTGAGAACCGCGGGCATAAAAGTAAGGTTGAGGCAGAACGCGATGCCGAGAGGGAGTCGTCTGTAACTGCTGACCAACCCCGTTTGGGAAAGTGAAAAGACAAATGCGGCCTTACCTGTCTCCGTTTAAGTTTTCTGGAGTACAACCCTTTCTGCACAACAAGCCCTTTCTGAAGTGCTCCGGCCCGATATGACCGGCCTCCGGGATGACATTTCAGAAAGGCGAGAGCGAACAGATAGCGGGGATAGTGGAGTAAACTATTCCACATCATAGATTTGTGCTTGCTATGCTGTCAACGGCACCTTTCAGATTGGCAACAGAAAGTATTTGGCCAGGAGCTGGTTACGAGATTCTGGGGTAAACCTCCCTCCCCGTGTCAGACTATTAGTGCGGCTGTGCTTTGCACACCCGCCTCCGGTCGTTCTAACTTTGTCTTGCCATGGGAGCAAGGTGGAGGGAGGAGGAGAGGGTGAGATAAGTACTGTGCAAGCCTGCCTCACTATAAACTAATTTACGTCTAAGTCACCGGTGCTAGATGTCGCCGCTTGCGACAGTCTCAATAATTCGCATGTGCCGGGGCCCTGGAGCCCAAATGAGCAGAAGTCGAACAGGATACCAAGAAGGCGAGAGGGTGGGGACAAGTAGAGGGAGGTTAGGGCTTGGCTTAAGTGCTCGCTGACCAATGAGGCCTGGTCCGAGCCCGCCTAGCTCCCCTCTCTTGTCGGTATTTCCTCTGACTGTATGACTGGTTGTGGTGTTCACATGCGAGGGTTCCACATGGTTAGCCAAAGAATCAACCACACAGCTGTCTGCCTGGATCGTCCACTGTGCTCCAAAGTACATTTATGCCCGAGCTTAGGGGACCAGGGTGTACATCGTACTCACGATTACCAGTTGGGCCGTCTAAATCAAGTTATCGGCGCTTAGATACCTCCATGACAACCAATTTTACGAAGTCGCTGTTCTATATGGCAGAGAAAGACAAGTGTGGCAATCGATTGGGATGCGGAGGCCAAGGACTGGGTAGCTAAATAGTTAGGCTAACCCAGAATCACACACGAAACAATAGATGCTTATCAGTGGGTCCCGGCTAGTGGTGGTCCAACGATATCAACTAGGGGCACGAGATCGCAGAAAGCCTTGCGTGCTGTTCGATAGAATTTTAAGCTTTTATGCGTGCTGTAAGAAGAGTTGCTAGCAGATACGATTTAGGAAACTAGAAGACGGCCAACAACGCTAAATCGGACCACTTGGACTGGACCATACGAGGCTGTAGGTGGCAGACAGGCCTGCGTTTGTAGGTCGACGAGCAAAGGGTTCCGTGACCGAATGGGCATGTCCACCGCCTGCGCCAAATTCCAGCGTTAGCTGACTGTCCGGCTTGAACGGTCGACTAGTGTTTGGGAGGAGGAAGAGAGAGAGAGGCTAAGGCCGATTTTGAGAACTCCATCTCCACGGCAATCAGTGCATATCGCGCATTTAAACTACCACAGTGAACAAGAGGCCGTGCCTTGGAAGGCTGCCAGCCAACGGGATAACTCGGTCCTCCTCGCAGGACGGAGCATCAGGCCGCAATGACGCCTTATTACTGCGGCCGCCGTCGGGACGAGAACCGCACCGCTCTTGTTTTCCCCAAACCCGATCAATCGCGCATGTGGCACGCGTAGACGGGCTGCTCGGCATCGTCAGCCACTCAACCCGACGCAGCCCCCATCCACGGATGAGGCTGCCGGCGATTTACACTCTGTGGGGGTACAGCGACACCATCCAGTCCCAATATTAGGCATCCAATGACAAACTGAATCGCACGACCCCAGTTTAGTACAGGGCATGTCGCAGACTACTTCCAAAGGAGGATTTCCTGGCGACCACAACTGGAAATGGTCTACCGATTCAGACTCGCTCTCGCGGATATCTGGAATGAAAAGTAATACTAACAGACCTCATACCCCATCGGCGGTGTACGCAGACGAGTTAAAAGGCGCAGCATCGTGTAGGGGTGGAGATCTGACGTAGTGTCTTGATTTTTTTACTCAAATTATGTCAAAGTAAGTCAGGCGAAGGCAAAATAAATTAAAGCGTTTCGGCGTTGAGTTGCTTTTCACTGCACTAGCACGGTTCACGGGAAGCCCATTCCTTTTGGTCAGCGGTGTGCAGACCAAGCTCCAGGGTAAAAGGGAAGGCGACACATCTGCTCACGCAATGTGATCGGCATGGTGCCACGCGCATGGAACTGTGAGTCTCAGTCGACTAACCTCGTGCAAAATGGTGTGACCGGCTGGTGCATTAGCAACAACAGTAAGAAATCGACAGCCACCGAAAAAAAACTGAGCTCGAATTCGTTTCCCCGCCAGGAACTCGCCTAATTGCCTTTTATGACAACAGAACCTTTCTCAAGAGAAACGCGAAGAAACAGTATAGACACGGACAGAAGAGGTCTGCTATGAGACAGAGCCTACCTGACAACCTCCAGAACACTCATAGAGCGCTCTTCTTCCGGACTACGCGATGTGTTCAGTAATCCGCATTGCACACTCCTTGCAAGAAAGGCGAGCTTATTTCCGAGTCTGAATGACCGCTCTACTGACGTTTGTTGCATTGGCCTAAGCCACGGAGGCGTGGAAGTTCTCCGCTGTACCCGCCGTAGAAATCTCTCGCAATCGTCTGATGTTCAGTCTGACGTTCGGCAGGGCTTAAGTCTGTTGCCCACGCCGTTCTACTACACCAGTAACTGGGTTCACGGTTATACACGACCTTGGTGGTGCTGAGTCTGCACCCGGACGTTGGTTGATCTACAGCGACTGCGCCGACAATGTCGCCATTCTGGCCTTAAGGATTTACAGTCTGCGGTGGTAAGGGCGAATGAAGTCGCAAAGTCCTTCGGTTTATCCATAAACGCTGGGAAGAACAGGATATTTTTCAGCTGCATCCCTAACCAGGAGAAGGGGCTCCTCCGGATTGATAACTTGACGAAGTAGACACTTTCAAATACCTCGGGGAGGGGCTGCTGCCGAATGTACAGGTTAAGGGCAACGTCGTGTCCTCCCGAATCGACGCTACTCACAGGGATTTCACAATCCAAAAGAGGTGTCTAGGGGCCCGACGCGACATCTTCATTGTCACGGACATCCGCGTGTACCATGCATCCGTCCGGCCATCCTTCTCTGCGACCGTGAATGCAGGGACATGGAGGCGTTCGACCATCGCCGCCTTCGAAGCATCCTTCGAATGAAGTACACACTGTTTCAAGCAAGACAATCCACACTTGCTGTGACAACACTACGAGCATATCTCAGACCACCCATGACAGAAGACCGAGGTGGTTTAGGCACGGTTTCGTCATCCGTCCTGTGAGATCGGTGTTCTTGCCCTGGAAGGGTCGAAAAGGAGCTCAACTCAGAGCCTGACGCAACAAATTACCGTCGCGGGACGACAGAATGAATCGGGCTGCCCAAACTGGCCGCTGTAAAGAGAGATACAATCCGCGACTCTATCGCGGCCGACTAGACCAGGCACGGTGACATCCGCATTAAGTACGGGCAGTGAGGCATAACGCCCCGCACGGTAACGTCCTCCCAACAAACATCAATTACACGCAACTTGGTGCCGCCACGCATGAAAAATCGAATATTATGTCGACCTTCACAGCGAGACCCAATGCACCTAGTTACGGTTACAGATCACATATAATGTTGAAAAACCGACCAGGTTCAACGCGGCATACTGCCCCCGCCCGAAGTAACTTTGACCGTTGAGTCTGGCTAAGCCACGCTACACGTCAAGCTGGATCATTGCACATAGCTAAGCTTGGTTAAGACTTGGGGAGCCCACAGCCTTATCGGATGTCCGAACCAGCGCTGCTCCTATACAACACAAGTTCGCCTCCCCAACGATCAGACTAGACTTTCCTGGTTATACAGTCCGACCATCAGTGAATTAAGAACAACTGGTACCATAACAATCCAAGTCCAGTTTGTTTTCCCTACAAGCGGTCGATCAATTAAAAACCTCACTGAGCGTCGCTATGCAATGATTGGGAGGGCTGACTTCGCATAATCACCCTAGCCTACACCACTATACTGCTGCCTACAACGAAACCAGAGACGCTCTGAGAAGGTTAAAACTCCACCAAGATGAGCCATCTGAACTTACTTAACCGCTGCTATCTCGTTTGGTCCAGTAGGACATTTCTATTCAGGCTGAAAAGACTTTGTGTCCGCCCGAAGAATGAAGGCCAAAATTTAAGTCAAATCAGGCCCATCGGCAGTTGTGACGTTTCTCGACAGGGCCTACTGTCGACGAGTCCGACGCGTTACTCCCAAGTCCTCACCCTCCGTCCAGCTACTTTCAACAGGTGAACAACGACGGGAATGAGATAAAGTGCAAGAAGGATGCTCATTTAAATTGTACTCTTCATGAGGAAGTGGGGGAAGCCAGGGAAGATGGCGAGACGCAGAACACAACCCGTTTTGTGTGAAAGAGGGGGGCCTCTTGGGGCCACGAATAGAAGAACACACACACACACACATACGGAGACGCTGGGGACAACAGCAGTGGGCAGAACAGTCAAAAAAAAACTAGTACCTAAAATGAGGGATCTAAAGTGCATGGGGTAGGGAAAGAAGCGGAGAGAGGTACCAACAACATACAAAAGAGGAATGAAAAAATCCGGGGTCTATGAAGCAGAAGCGAGAAAAACCGCAGTAGCTGGAATGTGCGTGTGTGGATTTGCTAGCAGAGTTACTGAATGTGGGG